GCCGCCGCCGCCGCCGCCGCCGCCGCCGCGGGACTCGGACAGCCCCGCAGCGCTCCGGCTCCTCCTCCTCTTGCGACCGCCCTCCGCAGCGATGGACGGAGACGGTGACCCAGGTAGCCGCCGCCACCGGATCCACTCGCTTAGCCCAGGAGGGGAGACCAGGGCAGGCGGGCGAGTGCTACAGAGTGGGAGCATCAGAGAGCGAGGGCACCCCTCCAGACCCAGAGCGGCAAACTTTCACCCAAGCAAAGCCCTTGAGACAATCTCAAAAGAGCACAGTCCTCTGGTATCTTGGTATGCGGGAGGCTTGGAGAGATGACAGGCAAGGGGGGGGAGGACTCCTGGATCCCATTTACCCAGGAAACAGCATACCAGTAATCCCGTGTTCCCGCCTCGCAGCTTCCTGAGGGTCTGTCGGGCTGGGATCTGTGACCCACCTGGGATGGAAGAGGCCATAGCTCTTTTTCTTCCATCAGCTTCTTCCGTTTGCCAACTCTGGCCCATGAGCTGCCTGAATCCTCATGGATTTCTTGGGATTACAGGCCTCTCCCCACCCCATCCCAGCCTTCCTCCTGGGATCCCTTGTCTGGAGAGACTGCCATTCTTTTGTGGCTGGATGCCCAGTGGGGGACCAGGCCCATGGTGAGGGAGAGTAGCCCCCTGAGACTGCCCAGTCATCTTGTCTGGCACCAACCCCTCACCCCTAGAACTGCCTGCTGGGCCTGTAGGGGTTGCCTGCTGAGTCAGGGGGGAACAAGACCTGCCCACGGATTCTCCCACCCCTTCCTCATCAGGCCCATCTGAGAGTGGCCATTACTTGGGGAGGCAGGGTAAATACTGGTGCAGACTCAGGTTGCCAAGCCCCTCTCCCAGCCCTGAAAATCCTAGCCCCTTCAGCTCCTGCTCCCAATCCGTGGCCCCCTTGCCACATCTTATGTAGGGCCCCAGAATGGGCTCCTGCTTCTTCCCAGGGCCCAGCTATTCCCAGGACTCCGGGTCCCAATCCAGGTGAGTGAATCAGCTTCAGAGGCAGCTTCCAGGGGCCAGATAACTTTCCGAAGGCAACAATGTGGGGAGTTGTGTGTGCTTGAGAGGGGGTTGGGGGGTTGTAATCAGATCTGGGGCCCTGAGTGCCAGGCCTGGGGCCAGAAGAGGGGACTGGCCAAGGTGCACCTTTCTGGGGAGCATCAGGTGTCCACCAGGGCCAGGGCAGGGCAGGGGGAGGGGTGGAAAGGTGAGGACACTGGGCCCAGCTCCCCAGAGAGCTGTGGGCAGTGGGACAGGCAGGTGGTGTGGCTTCAGGGCAGGCATTTTCCTCTCTGCCTTCCCACCATTGTGCGGTGTGACTTGGGAGAAGCCAGTAAGCCTCTCTGGGCCTCAGTTTCCTCCTTGCCAAAGTGGAAGGGTAAAGTCCTATATCATAAAGATGTGCTCCCTCCCCCACACCACCAAAGGCCAATAATGAAGGGAACCGTGAGAGTAATATGATTCATTAAATACAACTACAGAGGACTCACTGTGTATCCTGGGCTCTGAAGAGGTAAACCCTGATTCCGATCTCAGGGGTCTGACTGGGGAGTAGGGGAAATGGATGTGAGGTGAAGAGCTGGCTGGCCAGGTCCTGGCAACACCCAGACTTGGGTCTAGGCCCTGCCTATTCCTACCACCATCTTGGCTTTCCAGGGCCCAGCCCTTAGGAACTCCCCCGCCATCCAAGGTCTGAGAGCAGTAGCCTCCCCCATCACCCAGTGACCCCTCTTGTCCTCACTATCTCTCCCTCCTCCAGAGACACTGGGCACTGGGTATCTGCTTACTCAAGGCTTTGATGGCCCAGGTGCGGCCAGCCAGGATCCAGGAGACAGTCTAGCCCTGACATCTGTCCTTTTCCTTATAATTTGGAATGCCCTTATCCCCTCCTCAGAGGAGTTGAACATCAGCACTGTCTGAATGGCCTGGCACAGGGGTTATACCCCCATTTTATAGATGAGGAATCTGAGGGCCAGGGATAGGAAAAGGAGTGAAGAGACGGTCCTTCCCAAGCAAGTATTATATCTCCCTGTTTGATTTGTTTTCTTTTAACACGCCTCCCTCCGCCATCCTGAGGTCCCTGTTCTCCCTTCCCTTCAAGCCTCAGCTCCCCAAGTCCCCTGCCTGAATACTAGCAGTGTGACCTCTGGCAAGTCACTCCACATCTCTCAGCCAGAGCATCTCTATCGGCAAAATCAAAATCATAACTCCTAACTCAACGAATTATTTTCTCAAAGCTGTGGTGGCTAAGGTGGCTCTGGAGACAGACTGCCTGGGTTCAAATCCAGCCTCCAACGACTCATTTGCTTATAATCCTGGGTCGTTTCACCTCTCTGTGCCTCAGTTTCCTCATCAATGAAATAGGGACAGTAACAGGGACAACCTTGTTTCAACAGTAAATAAAATTAAAATGCTGAGAACGGTGCCTAACACTCGCTAAGTACCCAACAAACATTAGCTGCTGACAGTGTGCCAGGCGGGATGCCAGACACTGGGGATGGAGCAGTGAGTTTCCCAGACCTGATTCCTGTCCTCATTCTCTCAGTCTAGTCTCGAGAAAGAAATATGCCTACAAACCATTACACCCCTGGACAAAAGCTCGGAAAGCTGGAACTCAAGGCTGTGAGATGGCAGGATGTAAAAGGGGAAGTCGGAGGAGGGCTCACCTGAGGAGGAGGCGACAGGAGCAGGGATCTGAGAGGGCGGTTGAGAGGGTTATGGGACTTCATGTGTTAGTAATATCATCAGTTACTGCCATCGGCTCAGGAATGGAGTTTACTGGCCCTGCAAGGGAAACTGAGACCTC